ATATGAGGCTTTTCGAATTAAGAAACCCAAAAGCTTGTCAAATTCACAAATGGAAATTAAGCAATATATATGAGGCAAACTCTTCTGTGCCATAATTGTTCTCAGTGGCCATAGCAAAACTGCAAGTTATCTTACTCCTTGTTTCTTCTATTTCGCCTAAGATATATTTTCTGCGACAGATGCATTGGGCATTGCCAGACATTGGCACTGACACGCGAATTGCTTGTATTACTATTATTGTTATTATTAATGTTATTCATTGTCATTGTCATTGTCAGTGTTATTATTATTATTATTATTATTATTATTATTATTATTATTATTATTATTATCTTTATCAATTTTATTATTATCGTTATTATTATTATGAATTCCTCATTAGTTTTCGAACAAACGATAATCCACCTGAAAGTCGTATCCCCAGCCACCCCCCCCAAAGAAAACAAAAACCCAACAATAAAAACAACAACAACAACAACAACAATAACGAAAAACAGCAACAACAACATTATAAGGAATGCTTGCTCGCCAATACAATACAAATAAAAGTGGCACCTTCTATAGCCGCAAATATGGATTCCCCAACGATATGTGACATTAGATTGGCCAAGCGGGTGCAGTCCACAGTTATCAGAATCCCTGGTTGCTTCAGGGAACGCTGCTTCTTTTTGTCTTTTTTGACACTGGAATGTTTTAGTATACCAGCAAGGCAAACATGATTAAATTCATATTTAACATAACACACAGCTGGAGAGAAATCAAGATTGTTTACATAATAAATTACTATGTACAGTTGAGCTGTGCAAGTTCGCTCAAAATGGCGGAAAAAATCAATTTCTTTAAAAGAAATATTTCAGTCGAGATTATGTCCCTTCTAGAATGCCTTTCCATTATTTACACAGTCAGTAGTGGCAACGCACGTTAAATCGGATATTCTCCGACTTGAAAGGACGTTTTCATGGAAAGTGACCCAAAACTGCAACTGGATGGAGCAAAGATTAGAACACAGAGAACGCTTTACGTCATAAACACATTCGCTAGTAACAATAAAATTCCTCCCAGTGTGTTGCAAAACACAAGGCACTTTGAGAAGATATTGATACTACCAGATAAACCGTTCTCTATGTTTCAAGCGTATCATATTGAGGGTATGGGAGCCTATAGTGCTGGTCAGCATAAAAATAGTGCTAGTGTTCAGTTCAATAGACTCACGTTCGCTCTCAGACATTCACAAGTCTCCTTACACAACATTGCTCTTGAAAGAAATCTCATCAAAGAATGTAATTTTCCTTTTATTTCATAACTAATGGCTGTGTATGTTACCCCCCAGCGCCCCAAAATGTCACAGTTTACAAGTTGGCGAACCAGACCACCGTGGCAGGCGTCTTGGAATGGAAGAACCGATGATGTTTTCCCATCTGCCAGCCTGACAGGTGAACTTCGCCGCTCGTCGGTACCACCAGGAACACCCAGAAGGGGACTGGTGACAACTCGAACTCAAACATGTCCACGGGTCGGTCTCCCAACACTCTAACCACCTGTACCACACTGTCTTCGTCTACTGAGCTTGAGGGTACCTTGGCGTTGTCCGAGGGAAGATACATCGTCCCACTCATCTGGTCAAACTGAATGGCCAAGCGGACGGACGCGGATTTGAGAATGGCGTTACGCACGTTGGTCTTGGAACCCCAAACCACCGTGCCTTTATCGCTGACTTTGAGGATGGTCTCCCATGGTTTCACATCGATCATCCAGCAGATTTTCTGCTTCGTCATGCTGGGCGAGATTGTGGTGGAAGTGTTCCGCACGAAGTGTCCGTACTGCCGGAATGTACCGGTGGTGTGGGCCGTGGAGAACTTGATGTAGGTGTTGCTGGTGAAATCAAACTGGTCGTAGCCGCGTCCTCCCTTAGTGGAAAGCTCGTCCATGAAGTATGCACTGACGTGATTGTTCTTCACCCTGAGGAAAGCCGCCTCCATGGCCCGGTTGTCTACCACAACTCGCACGCGGTGACCGTCCTTGATAGCAGCCACCAGAGACTCCCTGGAAAACAATGCAATTGTCAATGTTTTCACCTCAATAGGCTTATTTTTTGTTAAGTGATTAATGGTCCACGCAACTGCATAAGGTCATATGAGGGGGCTGGAAAAAAAACAATTTTCAATTTGGTTGCAATTAATTTTGAATTTTGCCCGGGTGGCGGCCGAAGCCTACTCTTATCGATTTTAGGACCACCAAGGGATCTTTAACGTGCGCAACTTGCACGTGTGACCTCGGAGATTTTCCACCCTTATCCGAGACGGCAAAGTTTTCGATCTAACCTGCCCTAAGATTAGGAGTGTGGCTGATAGTATGATATGCGAATGAGTAGCAGTAGAAAGGCAGCAAAAAGAGTCAGGAGCTCCAGAGGAGGGTGAAATAAAAAGGAGGGGGGGGGGGCGGGAGGCGCAGAAAGTGGTGACGAAAGAAGAAGACAGAACATGATTAGAGAGCAGGAAAGTAGGTGAAAGAAGGATTTCTCAGAGAAGAAATTTTCCGCCGCTGTCAGAATTCAAACCCTGGTCCACTAGACCACGAGACCCCCCCCCCCCTTCATAAACATAATTGAGAACATTTGGGAGGCGTACTGCTTCAGCCCTGCCAGTCAGGGAAAGACCAAGCCAAGAGGAATCAAACAGCAGATGGGAAATATGTTTCCTAGGGGGTGTGTGTGGGGCAGAAATAGGCCACTAAACGCCAGAGTTCGATACATGTGAAAGGCGAACTTTTATTGAATATCTCGGTCTTTCTGCTGGCACATTGAGTCCCTCTCAGACTTGGTTGGTCATGACTGGTAGGTTGAAGCCCGCGTCCAGAATGATCTAATGATCAATGGGGGCGTAAAACTTCTACTTGTACTTTTACAGTTAATGCTTGTCTTATACAAAAATAAATCATTAACATTGCACCGGAAAAAAAGGGACTCGGCACAAAAACAAAACAAAAACCCTAACCAAACCAAGCAAAACAAAACAAAAAACCCAGACAATTCAATTTAAAAAAAAAAAGGACCCAACCCCCCACCCCCCCCCCCCTTAAAAACAAAAACAAGAAACAAAACAAACGGAACAAAACAACTTCCCATGCAGACTCACCTAGACCCCCTGAGCTGGTTGCCAGCCTTGTCGTGAGTAAACACGTGCCTCCAGCATGGGTCAGCGAACCATTTGAGGGACACATAGTCAGCGCCGCGGCCTCTGTTGGTCACCCCGCCAACCGCCCATCGAGAACTGTCCCGGCGGCCGGTTGTGCACCTGAGGATTGTGGTTTGAGAACCAGGTAAAGGAAGATGCATCAAAACTAACTTTTAAGTCAAAGGAAAAGTAAAATGGACCTGTTAATGGCACCCCCCAACCACCCGCAAAGACTGTGGGCCCAAGTGCAGCGGGCCTTATGAGAATGCAAGAGGAGAAAGGTATGAAATTTTTGCAGCCAAGCCCATAAAGTTAATAATGTTAATTGCAAATACGTCTTTTGGATGACGATACGCACCTCTGATAAAAAGCAACAACAAAAAACAAAAACAAAACAAAAAACCCAAAATTAAACAAAAATGAAAATAAAAACTGCTTTTAATTTTAATTTGGCAATTCAAATCATAATGATGCTTATAGCGACCCTACAATTTTGTAAACAGCCTGAAATCATAATATCTCGCGTAGCGTTGACTTATAGGTATTCGTCTTTTTGGTGATTGAACACCAGCGAACCTGTCGTTTAATTAGAGTTCCCTTTGTTACTGGCATTAACCAGTACATTGAGTTGTTACCATGCTAAAGCAACACCATTTTTAAATGTATGTGTTTTACATACCCATCGATACAATTTAGATCATTATTAGGGCCAAGTCGGGCTGAGAGAGACAGACTGAATAAAAATCCTCCAAAAACTGGACTCGAACTTAGGTCTTTCGCCTGCAACAAGACTAGAAAAAAAGCGCCAAAGAGGTACTCCACAGACGCCGGTTGTTAGTTCATACTTATAAACCCAAGGAAACGCCTGCACGTGTGAGAGATGTCTTTCTTACATAAACAGGTTTGCTCCTGGTAAAACATCTAACCAGCAGAACGTGTTACAGATAAACTAACCAAATAAGGAACCAGGAATCAGCTGAGATTGGACTTTTAAAAAAATGGTGGTCTATTGATCAGTTAGTTTATTTGTTTATTTACTAATTTCATTTTTCGAGGGGGGGGGGGGGCAAAGAACATTACGTTTTGACTGAAATATAAACGTAACAGAATCAAATTAAAAGAGGTTTTACCTCTATTTGCAAATCAGCAAACGCTGATGTACCGTCCATCTCTGAAAGGACTGATGGTTTTAAACAAGAAAGAGTTTTTCAAGCGACCCATGTTCAAGAATGCCCCTTCAGATGCCCTGTTGGATTTCAAACGAGAGTCGCTTGCCTTGAGAACCAATCTAGTGAGATAATGCAGACACTGACCATGATGAGAACCACATGTAGGGAGTCTGTGTGTTGAATACGATGTCGTTGCCGCTGTACTTCTGGGACAAATGTTTGTTGCTCTGACCACACACGCGCTGGTCCACGTCAGACCACTGGATCACCTGAGAAGAGTGGATGGCAGGGTAGATAAATAAATGGAACAATCAGTTAGTGAATCGACATATTAACTGATTAGCGGATTAGTCAGTCAGTCAGTCAGTCAGTCAGTCAGTCAGTCAGTCAGTCAGTCAGTCAGTCAGTCAGTAAGTCAGTCAACCAGCCAACCAACCAACCAGCCAACCAACCAATCAACCAACCAATTAACCAACCAGCCAATGGTAACAAACGAATTGTAATCAATCAATCAATCAATCAATCAACCAATCAATCAATCAATGTCTAGCAAAACAACGACAGTTAACTATAGCAAGTTATGAATATCGCTTTGAGAACAAGGCATTGTATGTTAGGAAAATACGTTTAACAACCTTTTCAACAGCCATGATTTTTAGAGGTGGATCCTTTTCGCGAAAACTCATATGAAGAACAGATAGATATAATTTGATAGGGTGTTAACGAGGACATTGGTTCGTTTTTTAAAATGAAAGTAGCTCTTTCGACCTTAAACACAAAAATAATAATCAATATTCATTTTTTTTTCTTGATCCTTTAGAAAAAAATACATACCGGCTCAAAAAACGAAAAATGAAACAAATACACACGAATAAAAACAGCAACATACAGCCAAAAGCTGCAGTCAATTTAAGACATACTTTGTAGAAAATCAATATTGCATCAGTGTCCATGGTGCAGAGGTTATGCACTGCGTTGTCGCTCGTAGAAGATCGGAACTCAGTTTTCATGTGTGGAGAATTTGTATTGAGTAACTCGATCTATCTGTTGGGGTGTTGCACCCCCCTCATCCCGCTTCCAAACTGATCTAAATTGTACTGATAAAGGGGTAACACATCTACATACCCCCCCCCCCCCCGAAATTGTACCTGGAATGGGAAGGAGTAGCCTCTGTCGGTCATGAGAGCGCGGATTTCTTTTCCTTCCTTGGCGGCGTCGATGAGATCCTCCTTCTTACCCACCGTGGACCCTCCGTCCAGGAAATGGGCGTACAGGGGCCGGTTGTTGTATAAGTCGTGCTGTGGGAATTGGGGGAGGGGGTAAGGGGGTGGGTAGGGGGTGGAGAAATGCAGTTCAAAATGTTAACGTGAGTTTGATATCATTTTAGGGAGAATTTTCATCGAGTATCTCGGTCTTTCTGCTTGGACGCTGTATCTTTCTCAGCCCAGGCTGAGCCTGGCCTTTTCCTCCCTGTAGTTTTCACACGTGCGCAAATACATTGCACCATGGTCTCTTTGCGACATAGTCATCGAATACATCCTGTCTCGACCTTTAACATAGGCCAATAAAAGACTGTTAAAACTAGTCTAATCAGAGGGAGAACTTTATTAAACCACGCCCATTCCCCGAGAATCGCATTACCAGCACATTTAGGGGAGTCGACAACTTTTTCAAAATTGAGATCAGCGCCTAAAACACATTTGTTTCCTGGCTGCTTTAACCAGTAATGAGCAAATGTTTTTTATAAAGCGCATTCAGAACTTTCTTTTTTTTTCTTTTTTTTTTTGGTAATTTTTTTTTACAGCGCTCGCAACTGCATAAGGTCATATGAGCGCGCGGGACACACCTAATACTTTTAGTTGGTAGGAAATTTTGAATTTTGCCCAGGTGGCGGCCGAAGCCTACTCTTATCGATTTTAGACCACCAAGGGATCTTTAACGTGCATAACTTGCACATGGGCCCTCCGAGAATTTTCGCCCTTGTCCGAAAAGGCTAGGTGTAGATCTTTCCTACCAGAAGATCAGGGGTGTGGCAGAAAGACAGCTGTAAGAAGGAGTCAAGGAGTAGCAGTCGAAAGGCTGCAGAAAGAGTCAGGAGCCCAGAGGAGGGGGCAAAGGAGGTGAGGGGATGGGGGCAGAAAGAGGCGACGAAAGTAGACGAAAGAAAATTGCTAGAGAGCAGGAAAGGAGGTGAAAGGACACAATTTTAGAGAAGAAAATTTTTCGGTCGCTACCCGGATTCGAACCCGGGACCTTTGAATGAGAGGCCAACACTTTAACTTCTAGGCCACGAAAGCCCCAGAACTTTCTTTGTGGAAATGCGCTATTAAATAGGACTTCATATTATTATTATTATTATTATTATTATTATTATTATTATTATTATTATTATTATTATTATTATTATTATTATTATTATTATTATTATTATTGTTATTATTAATATTATTATTATTGTTATTGTTATTATGTGACATGGTAAAAATGGTACTGATATAGAACGTCTTCGAAATGTCTGAACCATTGCTTGATCTCTTTTTGGGGGAATTTTTGGAAGTAGAATTAAGATAGGTAGGGAGAAAGAGAGAGAGAAAGAAAGGGAGAGCGATGGAGAGAGAGAGAGAGAGAGAGAGAGAGAGAGAGAGAGAGAGAGAGAGAGAGAGAGAGAGAGAGAGAGAGAGAGAGAGATGTTGGGGTTAAAGTAAAGGAGAGATAAACCTGAAACTAACCTGTATCTCCTTGGTGAACCAGGCGATCCTGACCCTCTGTGTGTCCTGGGAGAGGAAGTCGGCGCTCTCCACGTAGTACTGGGCTATATGCACGCTGCCCGTTGTGCAAGGCAGGAAGAACCGCCAGTGGGCGTCTACCACAGTTTCCGCGCCACTGGTCGCCACATGGGATAATGTCTAATAGAACACATACAGATAGATAGATAGATAGATAGATAGATAGATAGATAGATAGATAGATAGATAGATAGGTAGATAGATGTATAGATAGATGTATAGAGAGATAGATAGACGTATAGATAGATTTATAGATAGATAGATAAACGTATAGATAGTTGTATAGATAGATACATAGATAGCAGGGGCGGCTCGTCCATAGAGCACGGTCGTGCTCTCTGCCGTCCAAAAATTTTAGCGCACAACACCCATAAAGTGACAAGAAAGAACCTTTAGTTCATAAATATTAATAAGGCGGCACAATCTCAATGTGCACCAGCCGAACAAAGCCCATAGAGGCAGTCTAAAAATAACGCGATCTCAGACCAGTTCACGATAGCCTACAAAATTCAATGCCCGTATTATGATAGCTTTGGAGCAATCCACCGGAGTGCCCGCAGCGATGTGCGATAGGTCCATTCTCTTGCCAGTTATATCTCTAGCCCAACCTCTGTAACCCTGAACTTGAACGAGGTCAACATGATGTAATTAGGTCATTGTGTTAAAAGTTGGAATGGTGTACTGGTGAAAGTTTTATTACTCGAGTGTTTATTCCAAGGCAGGATGAATGAAGTTGATTGCAAATAAATTCAGTTCACCAAACAAAGTAACAAGAAGAGAGTGAATGAAGTAAGTCCTCACCAACCCAAAAATATCAAAATGATACAATGAATAAAAAGTGGAATGGCTTACAGTCAGCGTTAGCGAATTATACTCATTGTAGACCTAGATTAGGCCTACTGTTTCTCCTGTCTGCTTTTTGGAACTGAGGACCCCAAGAGGTCTGAGACAGGTTTTACTGATCTTGTCCATGTGAAACAACGCATTAAAGTCAAAAGTCATCAAGAGCGCACGTAGAAAATTCCGTTAAGTATCATACTTTCGGACAAGTAGACATAGCAGCTAGTCGTAGGTCATCGCATTGCAACGTCTCACTATAACGAAGCACGTATTGTGTAATACGGGGTGCCCACTACGGATCGCCCGACTCGATCGCCTCAAAAACAAACGTGTCTGTTTTCAGTTTCAGGCGATCGAGTCGGGCGATTGGCCCGATCCAGCCTTAGTGGGCACCCCGTATAAGGTTATCTAGTGTATTTTGTTCTGTGAAACTCACGAACTCGCCCTTCGCGGTCATGAAAAGGGTGATTTGTCGGGGAACAGAGGTATTTTTCGCTAACGCTATGCAGACTCTTCGGCATTTTTTGCCCACTCAACAAAATGCATCTGCGTTTGTCACCGGAATATTCCATGGCCGTCTGAAACAAGGTGGA